AAAGAGTGTACAGCATAAAGCAAGGAAAACCTGTACTAGGACCAGTATTTTGTAATGCAATTCAGCAAATTATGCACTTATATAAGGGCCTGGTTACGCATTAATTTTAGGCAGCTCCTTGTGCTCTTAACACCTGGATTCAGTGGCATACCATGGGTCTCCGGCACCCGGGGGTCAATGCTTCCATTTGCGCTGCCCCCCTCCCCCCCCGCAGCCAATTGCTGAGTGGGGGGGTCCCCCGGCTGCTGAGCAGGGGCAGTGGGGCGGGGGAGGGAGCCCCCTGGTGGCCAATCGCCAAGCCCAGAAATGCCGGTGGCAAAATCACAAGTGCCACTGGGGGACCAAGTATGCCCCCACTCCCCCGTTACTATGCTACTGCCTGGACTGTCCACACATTAACACCTGAAGCATACTTTAGGGTGTATAGGGTATTGGTTTTGAGTCTATCATTTCTTTTGAAAAATACTGATGAGCACTTAACCCAGCAATTTGTATCGTAAACCACACAGCACTTTACAAAGTTTTAACAAGAGAGATTTTATCTTTTCTTCTTTGTCAGACAAAGGTTGTGATGTGCCAAAGATTAAAATAGTTACCTTTGATAAGCATGGCTCTGGTGTTAACACCTCCAAAGATGCACTTGAAGCTCGGCTACCAAGATGAGCTCTGGAGCTAGAGGCAGGCCTCGAAATTTCATCTAGGTTTCCTCTTGTAATATCCATTGTGGTCTAAAATGAATAAAAAGCCAAAAAAAAAAAAAAAAAAAAAAAAAGAGCTACTACCTAATAATAACTTGCCCCCTTACCCCACAAAAGTTAGGCTACAAATCAAATAGGACTAGAAGGCCTAAAAAATCAGGCATCTTTGATGAGAAATATATACAGTGAGCATGTCTACACATGTGCATTTACTGCACAGTAACTGAAATTACTGCAAAGTACGGGCACATATCTACATGTGCGCACCTGTACTGTGCAGTAAATATGGTGACTTAAGCCCACTTGAGTATAAATTTGATACCTGCCTGAGCCAGGTATCAAATTTATGTCCAATTAGTTATGTCCAGTAACACACATGTAGATGCATTACTGCACAGTAACCCAGAGGGCCTCCCTGCTGGGTCTGCTCGGCCACTAGGGGGCTGGCCTGAGCCCAGCTGCAGGGCTCCTGGCTGGCTGCCTCTCCAGGCATCAACTTGGGACTAAAGTTAGTCCCAAGTGCTGGCATCCAGCTCTGGCTTCAATTTGGGACTGAAGTTAGTCCAGGGGTGGGCAAAATACGGCCAGCGGGCTGCATCCAGCCTGCCAAGCACTTCCCTCCGGCCCACAGAGCCTTTCAAAACACACGTAATGGCGGCTGTTTCTCTAAAAGCCTCCAGCAGCACCAGCCATCGGCTGCAGGATCTCAGGCTATTTACTTGGGTTCTGATTCAGAGGCAACCAACCCTGACCTCAGCCTGACGCTGCTGGCCTCGCCCCTGGCTCAGGCCACGTTTGCAGCTTGGGGGGCGGGGGGGCTGAGCCAAAACCTGTGGCGCCGGTGAGGGGAAACAGTGTCTGGGCCGGGTTCTGCTTTGCTGCACAGGACTGGAAAGGGCCCTGCCCTGCAGGTAAGCCCAGGAAAGTGTCTGCTGGGCAGGCTTCCCCTGTGCCATGCCACTCGGGCCGTGCAGGGCAGGGCTGGGCCAGCACTGGGGAGGGGAAGCAGCAGCTGGATGGCAGCTCCAGCCCAGTCAGAACCAGGGAGGAGAGGTGGCGGCAGAGCCATGTGCCACTTGGGACAGAATGAGCCCAGCCGAAGCAGCAGGGGCTCAGGTGCATTTTCCTCCTACCTGTGCTGGTCAGTCCCGAGGCACAAAGCTCCACTGCTGCTTCTGCTGGCTGGTGCAGACCTGGCCGGGCTCGCCCTGACCCCAGTAGCACACAGGAAGCTGGCTTCAGCCGCATGATGCTGGGGATGGGAGGAGCCTGGCTGGGTCTGCACTGGCCAGGAAAGGTGGCATGCAGCTGAAAGGGGCTCCTCGCATGCTGCTGGGGACGGGAGGATACCAGCCAGGTCAGCACCAGCCAGCAGAAGCAGCAGCGTAGCCATGTGCTGCTCAAGACTGACCAGCACAGGCAGGGGGAAAGTGCAGCTGAGCCCCTGCCACTCTGGCCGGACTCGTCCCACCCCGAGCAGCGCACAGCTCCACTGCTGCTTCTGCTGGCCACTGCAGACCTGGCCGGGCTTCTCCTGTCCCCAGCAGCACGTGAGAAGCTGGCTTCAGCCGCATGATGCTGGGGATGGGAGGAGACTGGCTGGGTCTGATCTGGCCAGCGAAGTGGCAGCGGAGCTGTGTGCCACTCGGGACTGACCGGTGCAGGTAGGGAGAAAGTGCAGCTGAGCCCCTGCTGCTCCAGCTGGGCTCATCCCATCCTGAGTGGCACATGGCTCCACCGCCACTTCTGCTGGCCGGTGCAGACCCAGCCGGGCTCCTCCTGTCCCTAGCAGCGCGTGGGAATCTGGCTTCAGCTGCATGCCACTTTTACTGGCCAGTGCAGACCCGGCTGGGTTATCCCATCCGGAGCAGCATGTGGCTGAAGCCACCTTCCCACGTGCTGCTGGGGACAGGGCGAGCCCAACCAGGTCGGCACTGGCCAGCAGAAGCAGCGGCGGAGCCTCTTCCTTTTGGGACCAGCTGGCACAGGTAGGGGGAAAGTTCTGGGGGAGGTCTGATGCCCCTAAAGCCCCACTGCTGGGGCAGGATGTTAGAGGGGGTCACAATCCCTTGTTACCTGGTAAGTTGTGCAAGGGGAGGGACTTCCAGTGGCAAAGGTCAGGGCTCGAGGGGCAGGACTTCTGGCCCCAAGATGGTGACCATGCGGTGGGGCAACTGAAGGGGCGAGGCTACTCATTTCGCCCTCAACTCGCCAAAACTCATCAAGTGGCCCTCCACCTAAAATAACTGCCCGCCCCTGAGTCAGTCCCAAGGGCTGGCAGCCATACGGTCAGAAGCTGGAGCTCCCCCCAGTGGCCACAAAGGCACATGGCAGGCTACTCTAACCAAGGACTAAATTTAGTCCCAGGTCGCCTGCACACGTAGGCGCTGACCTATTCCTGCTTAGTGCACAATAACTTACTGCACGGTACATTTAAGTCAGTATAAATGCACATGTAGACATTCCAGGTATTCATTAGTTCTCCATTTTTCTTGGCTACATTTGTATGGAGCCACTGACTCAAAGCAAAAATTAAGCAGGCTGGTTACAAGACCTGCAAGCATATCTAAATAATATACCCAAACCCCCAAAACATTCCTTCAGTAAGAGTAGTGCTATTACAGTCCTCTTTAAACCTGAACTCAACAAAGTTAGTGCTAACAAAATAGCAGCTAAGTTGAAGTATTTAGCAGGTTCATAGAATATATCCAGACATGATACAAACAGTGGAGGATAGTCAAATGGCACTTTATTTCTGTGCATGACACAGCAAATTATTATTTGAAATCACATATATGGCATATTACATCTATATTTACACAGCATTTTACAAACATAGGTAAGAAGAAAGTATGACAGAAAGAAAACAATTACAGTGTTTATTTTCATTTGTAAAGCATAGTTGTTAAATCCATTGGCTCCTGATCCTACGCTTTGGAAACAACACTTTCAAATTTATACTCATTGAGATGTTAGACATAATAATTATGTAATAACAGAGTGGGTTGGTCTATTTATTTATGGAGGGATGAGCAATCCCAAACATTTGGAATCCCTATTAGACTTCCCAGACATTCAAATGCCTTCCTTCCCACACATCTGAGATGCATGAGAAGACTTGCTGAATATAAGGCAAAGTTAATCAGAGCAAGAAATGCCTAAAGGGTACCCAAGTGGTTTAGCACTGGTTGAAAATGAAGGAAAAGAGAAATCTCAGGGACATAAATAAAACCATCAGACAGGGCCAAAAACCAGATGATGGTAGTAAGAAATACTTGATGCTGAAGCTACAAGCCTGGGAGACAAAAGCATGTGTGTGTGCCATCCAACACAGCAGCCTCTCACACGTCAGCAACTTAAGCCCTGCCACACTCTTCTATAAACAGCATCTCACAATGGTTAACTTAAAAAATATGCTGGAGTTTTAAGTGTTACGTACCAACAGTAGAGCTGAGGCTTGATACAATGAAGTTTCTTAAACAACACACTGTCATCAAAGGCTGTTTAGCCCTTAATAAAATCTCAGTGAAGACTTAACTTGTTGCACCTTTCCAATTGTCAGAAACAGCCCCTGGTAAGTTGTCATCAAGTTTCTTGAAACTGAAAAGCCTCTTTCACTATTATTACTACTACTCGGGCCCAGTTCCACTCCTTCCCACCCCCGCCTCGGCTCAGAGCCTGCTCTTCCTGTCCTGCCCCCACCGCTACAGGGTTTGTCCAGGCCCACTGCTCCCCCGCCACAGTGGCCCGGCTTCTCCCAACCCTTGGGCCTGGTCCTCCCCCGCATCATGCCTAGGCCCACTCCTCCCCTTCCCCCACCACCACTACTGCCATGGTGCACTGGCTATTCCTCCCACTGCTGCCCCATCAGGCCCTGCAGGCAGCAACAATGGAAGGGGAAAGGGGCAGACTAAGGCCAGAGCTGGTGGCCTGCTCCCCCCCAGCATCCCAACCCAGCTCTCCCCCATTCTGCTGCCACCATGACCTGTAAGGAGTAAAGTCAGGGTGAGGCCAGCTCCGGTGTCCTCGCCCTCCCCTGTTCCATCCGCTCCATTGCCCCCGCCTCCAGGGAGCAGGGTGGCCCCCCATCCCCTGTGGCATCCCCACCATTCTCTGTCCCCCCATCCCGTGTCCCCACCATCATAACAGCATTCAACTGCTGCTAGCTTCTATTGGAATGCTTATTCACACTCTGATTGGCTGTTTGTTAGAGGGTGGGGACAGAGCCCCATGCTCCCTCCCATCCAGACCCACACCCCCTTTACCTCCTGCTGCTTGGGGTCTGGGCCTGCTCCCCCCCCTCCCCACCGCCCAAATGCATATCCCTATGGGCCTTCTCCGGGTTATAATGCCAACAATGATTCTGGTTATAATTATTACTACTATCACTGTTAATATGATGCTTATTACTAAGGGCGTTCTCAGGATTGCTATTATGATGGTTATTAGTATGCCTACAATGATGACTGTTTTAACTGAGTCATCACTGAATATTATTATTCAGTCCATGTTTCCCCTCCCTCGTGGCAAGGGGAAGAGGGGCAAGGAGACAGCGGCGTCCAAGGGAAGCAGCCGGCAGAGAGGATTCTGCAAACACTCGCGCGCAGAAAATGCAACAGACAAAGCAGGGTGGGGCGGGGGGGGACAGCGCCGCAAAAAAAAGACAACAGAACCAGAGGGGGGGGGGGGGGGGCACGACTGCGACGGCCCTGGCGCCTTGAGGGCCGCACACCGCACAGCCCAGCCCAGCCCGGTCCACACTCACCAGCCACACCGTGGCCCATGCCAGCTTCGGCCAGCAACGCCATTTCCATGCCAACTCCCCCCCCCCACCCCCACACACACTTCTGGGATTGCAAACTCACGAGAACAGCCGCTCACTGCGGGGCAATGCCATCCGTGCAGAAAGGGCGGGGGCGGGGCGGATTCAGGCCTGCTGCTTTCAAACCCTCTGGATTAAGTCTCTGCCTCTGGCTGCTGGGGAAGAAAAGCTGCACAGAGAGGAGTGATCTGTGCCCGCGCCCTTGTGCCCTGCAATAAGGAACCTCTATGGGAGCTGGGTGCTGTGTCTTAACCCGACCAACCCCATGTGGGCTCAGTGGCTTGCTCTGCGCACGTGCAGTAGCAGGGGTGCGCGGGCTCGGGTGGGCTGAGCGGGGCAGGCGGCAGCATCCTGAGGCAGAAGTGGATGGGGGTGGCTTGGACCGGGGGGGGCACTGAGGCAAATTTGGGGGTCTAGCCCTCCACCCCCCAGCATCACCTCTGATAGCCAGTAAGGCAGCTCCTGCCTTGAAGAACTGACAGCCTCCCAGTGAGACCCAAGAAGTAGTGAAGGAGTCACATTAGGGCAAAGCTGGGCGATAACAGCCCTGTGGTGGCTTATCTTGTGCCCACTTCTCAGCCATGTAGCTGTGCAGTTCTGCTGATTCCTGCAGTGCTGAGTGCAGCCCTGCATCAGCGCAACTGTGGCAACAGCACCTTTTGCCCCCCCCACCCCAAGACAGTTCCTTTCCTGGTCCTTCCTGCCTGTTACACTAGTGATGCTTCTTGATTTCAGTGTTTCTGAGAGTCAAAATCTTAAATCAATTCTTGTCAACTACTTCTTGCAATTTTTTAGGTGAGGCCTGAAGAAGGTGGAACTCAGCAAACAAGTTTGCTGAGCAGATGCTGACCAGGTTCCCTATCGTGCATCAGAAATTGCTGCCCCATGTCCGAGAAATGAAAAATGGTAAAGGAAAGCCATTGCTGGTAGCATTTGTGTCATCTGTCAAAAATCCTGGTCCTGGATTTGGCTCCTAATTTTCTTTTCCCACCAGTTCTCATGAAAGATCTTATTAAACAAAAAACCTTTCCCAGCTATGTCTACAAATGTATTATGGCATTCCTTGGCAAACGTATGTGAGGTAGCCTGATTTTGGCAAACCAGGTTAACTTATTCACTTACCGAACAAAACTTACAATGTCTAAAAGGCTAATTGTGCTGTCCTTATGCATATTTCCTGCCTAATTCTGCAAGTCATCCCTTTGCAATCAAGGATATGCTTTCCTTAGGAAGCTACTAAACATGAATATGATTAGCAGAGTTGGACTGGAAGCAAACACAGTAACCATGCTACTATAATCCATATTCTGTCTCTCAGGTCAGTCCTGTGCTACAAACTTCAGACAGCAGATCAATGTCAATCCAAGATGCAATTCTTGACCAACTGGTATTCCAGCATGTGTGTGTCTCTAGGTAGTAAGCTATGATTAATTCACCTCCCCAAGGGAAATGCAAATATTGGTGAATTATGCAGTAGTGACTGATTATGAGTTGATAATTGAGAGAAAAGAATGGAGGAGCTGGTGGGAAATCAGAACAATAGCAACTCAAACCATAGTGGTGAATTATTCCATAGAAAAATTAATCCTAGTTCACTGTATTGGCAAAATTCCACCAGGGTACAGTTTATTTGGCTTGCTTTTTATGAGAACACAATCTTCTAATAATAAGTAAAATGTAAACAGGATTTTTAAACCTACTTCACTTCCATAAGTTTAAAAAGTTGTCTGCAGAATGGTATGAAAATGGGGTTTTAAGATACCCATAACTTTTAAAACTGGACTGTTGCATCTTTTTTTTATTATTTAATACTAAAGATATTCTTACAGTCCCCTTTCCATCCACTAGATGGTGAAGCACTCTAATTCAGGGCTTTTGCATACTGTTCCAAAGTTTCACTGGGTATCTGAACTTCATTTGTCTTTAACTTGTTAAAGTTTGAATATTGTTAATTTTAGCTTGAGAAAAGAGCTGTAAGGCAGGAAACTGTAGCCTGAGTTATAACAATCTTCTCTGAAGTCCCAAAAAGGAATATGTTGTTTTTTCCAGTAAACGCAAATGGACTTAAGAACATTGCACTATAGAGATCACCCATTCCAAATATCAGCCTATTAAACAATTTATCCAACATGACAACTGATGAATCTTTTTATCTTTTAATTTTGATTCATTTGTATAACAGTAGTTTCCAACCTTTTTAAGTAGGAGATCACCTTTAGCATTTAAAAGCAACTCAAGATCTACTATGGACTGCTGCCACACTCCCCCCAGCAGGTAAGTCTGTAGAGAGGGAAGGGGGGGGCAGATTGAGGCAGAGGGAGAAAAAATGATTTGGGGGGCACGCCTCCCCAGCAGGTAAGTCCCATCTGGCTGGAGCCCCATTCAACTTACCCCTGCTCCTGCCTCTGCGGCACTGTCCCTCACCATGGGGGCCTCCCCCCCTTCCCTTCCCCACAGACTGACCTGCTGGGCTGGGGTGCACACGTGCATGCACGCAGGCACTCAACCCCTCACCCAAGCCTCGACTAGAGTCCAAGAGGCTCCAAGATCTACCAGTGGGGATCGAGATCCACTGGTTGGTGACCACTGTTGTATAGTTTCCCATGCATAAGTGCTTCCTTAGTTAATAGGATTATGTTCATGGTTATTTTTAAAATACAGTTTTCAATGAGCCTATTAAAGTCAAGCATTATTCTACAGTAATGTGAATCTCTATTCACTTTACTGTATAAACAGCTCTAAAAGTAAGAAGGGATGGTAACAGGGAAAAGACTAAACTAAAAATGGTCTTCCCTGACTAACCCATTTTGTTCAAGTATCAATGCAGGTGTCTGATCTGGAGAGCCACTGAGAATGTACACATCTTGCAATGGGTCCTTCCAGGCAGCTAAACAAGTAGCTAATAAATTACTTAGTAAAACAGCACTGTGTCATGGGTTAGTCTGGATTCAGAGAATGTGGCTGCCAGAATGTATGTTAGTTTTTGGGGCCATGTGACCGCTATCTGCTACAAGATTCTGACAGACACATACACACTCAGAGCAACATATGGCTTTTACAACTCCTTGCTGGTATGTGTTGTTTTAGAGCTGTTCCACTTTTATTGGAATTATTCTGTTGTTTAGTACAGTAATTATGACAGGATTCACAATTAAAGTGGACATAGATAATGCAGAAAACCCTTTAGTATGTATGAAAACCCAGCATGTATTTTAGTGGGCTACATTAAATTCAAATATGCAGAGCTCCAGGTGCACTAAGACACTAGCATTAATCCAAGATTGATATTGCTGTGCTTAAATGATGTTTAACAGCTTCAAGGGCTCTCATGTAGATTATATATAATGCAGGGGATCATGTCTGAAAGTACATTATCTACAGTATGAAAGTACATACCTTGATGCATCATGAATTGCAGAAATGAGTATTAGTCAATCTAGCAATCTTAAATAAAGTTGAGACCAGATACTGCCACTAGAATATAAGAATTTCTATTATAATTACCATGTACAGGGTTTTCATTACTACAGAAGCATATTTGGATATATTCCAAAGGCACAAACTGCCACTCTGATGCAAATTATATATACTAAAACACTTGGACTGCCTTGGAGATCTAGCAGGTCCTCAAGCACGTACCACAGAAGCAAGAGCATGTCAGCTTGGGTAGGTGATCTCCCTTTTGCCCCACAGAGCTATTTTGAGGCACACAGCCAGCCAGATTCCCCAAAGCAGTAGGGCTTGGAGTTATCACCTCATTGTAATGGGCTACATTTCTCAGATCTATTGTTGCAAGCTCTCTACAAATGACGATTTACAGCATTGTATCAGTTGTACATGGATCACATTCTCAGTCTTCTTATGCAGTGGTGAGGACTAGAAATTTACTTGCTTTTTTAAAATAAAACCTTGGTTTCTGATAGCCAGAACTTAAACGGGCAGGACTGGGCTCAGGTTTAGTCCAGTACTGCCTGGTGAAGGCCATCCCGGCCACAGATGGGGAGATCTCTGAACCGCACCATCCCATACTGCAAGAGCCAGATGCTCCCCAACATCACCATTACCCATGAGGGCCAAGACAGTCGTGACTGTAGATGTCACCATCCCCTTAGAGAACCCGTGTCAAGCCTTCACCGACGCCTGGGCTCATGAGCAGGAGAAGTACGCCCCACTGGCCAACATCTTGAGGAGCCATGACTATGACATGACAGTCAACGCGCTTAGTGTGGGAACACTTGGAGCCTGGGACCCCAGCAACAAGAGCATCCTGTGTGCCTGCTGCTACACCAAGCTGATGCAGCACCTCATGGTGTCCGACACCATCCACAGGTCCCACAACATCTACATCAAGCACATCACGGGCCAGCATCAGTACACAGACCCCAGTGTTGCTGCCATAACTATTCAACTCTCTGAGAGGCAGATGCTTTCGTTAAATGGACACCTTTCCACTTAGGACTACACTGAAACCACTGAACAATCAACACAGGATTGTTTACTTTTGTTCCATACTACTGTGAACTTCAACTGCATTTGAACATTATACAAAGACTGTGTCTTACTACCTCTATTTTGACATATCCACTGCATCTCAAACAATGGTACATTGCATTATGGCAATGATTTGGCATCCAGGTTGGTGCCAAAGGCCCTGAGGTTAACATAACATTTGAAACATCTCACAGGAATATGTGGCGGTTGAGTGGCAGGCCGAGGCTATGGCCAGTAGCCCGAAACAGCAGGTGGGTACTTTTGACCGATGGAGCGGAATTAGGCACTGAAGCATATTGGTTGAACAAAGAGATTATTTACTTACACCGTCGGTGTATACAGCACAGGAAGAAACCGAACAAGTTGCAAACCGAACAAGAGGAAAGCTTTCTGAGAACGAAATGAGATGTCCGTGAACGGCTTAACGAGCATGCAGAGCGGGGGCTACGTCGGTAGGTCGGCGACGGGGAGTCACTGGTGGGTGATCAGTCCGCCAGGTTTACTCCGAGATGTACAGAGTTCTCCAACCTGGAGAAATATGCAGAGTTCTCCGACTTGGGCGGAAACTGCTTTAACTTTTATATGACTAACAAGCCAATCGCGAGTCACCAAATATGAATAATTTAGAACCAGCCAATGGTGGTGTGCGTGTTTGCATAAAGTTGGCGGGAACTTTTCTAAGCTGTAATTTTCCATTACTGTGGCATATAGTTATTGGGTTCTGACATAGCAGAATTTTCCACCGTGACCTAGTTACTGCCACCAGCGGAATTTTCCACTGTGCCATAACATTCAGAATGATTGACAGTGGGATGTTCCACTATGGCACATGTATCAAACCAATGGAATTTTCCACTGTGCCATAGGCATGCAACTACTGGGTTCTGACAAAATATATCTGCTACAACATGAGAAACTCTGTGTCCTGCCACTAAAGGAATCCTAGGTACACAGAGCATCCCATGTAAAGGTAGAGACAGAAGGAGACAGGCCTGCTGGGACCATTACAGCAAGACAACTGTCAAAGATAGTCCTGAGGCTGCCATGGGCCTAGAAATCTAAATAGGAGAGGTGCAGCATTCTTTGGACACAAGAACAGGGATTGACCTAACCCAGGGGTTGGCAGCATACAGCCCATGAGCCAGATCTAGCTGTTAGAGGTTGGATTCAGTCTGGGGCACCACCCAAGTCACCCATTCCCTCCACACCACCTGCCGCCACAGCCCTCCCTGCTGCTCTCTTGTATCTGTGTTCACCCTCACTGCAGAGGGTACCTGTGCAGTAAGGGTAAGCACAGGCGGCTTGCTTAAGATCTCTGTGGAAAGTGTAGATTTGCATCTAGCAGCAGGGGAATGCATCACAAGCTCCAGGCCCATAACAGCAAAAGATTACCAACCCCCAATAGCCTAATATGTCTAAGCCCTCATGACACATGTTTTACAGAGAGGTGGAATCACACTGCATTTCCCATTGTGCTTCAACCAACGATATCTTTTTAGTTACATGATTTAAAAACTTGAGCCACAAAAATCCTCCACCTTGCTCAGGGTCTGAGCTGCATTCAGAAGCCAGCAGCCCTTCATTCTATGCCTATAAACTTTCTCAAAGTTTCCTGGGGATGTTCTAAAACACTTCCTGCCTGTTTACAGGCATTCAGAGGCTACTTTTCATGACATAAGTTCAGATTCAGACCTGGTTCCCTTCAGGCAAGTAGGGCACAGTAAATTGAGACAAAGCACAACTTAACAGGTTAGGCACAATGAATTCAATGTGATTGCCACACAAATTAAAGGGGAAAATGTACTGGGTGTTCTCGACTTGTATTTTCTGGATGCTCATAACATGACTGTGAACTGAAGAACAATGACTTCTTAGCACAGTGCAAAGTGTGCAATTGCATGGAGCCCCAACCTGGTCAGGGATACCTACTGCATTACAAGTATGCTCTATTAAGGCTAGTAAAGAGTGGGGATCTTAAACTAGCCCCCAGCAGGCAAACCCCACCTGCTGCTGGAAAAATACCTCAGACATCCTTCCAACTGCAAAAAATAATATTTCAGGGCAGAACATAGAACACTGAGAGTGTACATATGACATGGATAACAGTTTCAGGCATCATACAATTTATGTAAAAATGAATGTTTAGCAAGTGTTTTGAGATTCTTGGATTATATCAAACTGCTATAGAAATATCAAGCACTTTTTACTTTTTTATATCTAAGACTTCACAAAGATTCAACACAAACCCAAGGATCTCAGACAAGTCACTCAAGCCTGAAAAGGCTCTTTCTTTTCATAATGATGAGCACTATTGTGTATTGTCAATGTGTTTCATATATTTTTCTTTAAAATGTGCTATCATTTCCATGGGTTTCATGAGACATTGCCCTGCTTAACTATTTCTGAAATAAACTAATTTTCTATACAGATAGACAATGCGTTCAATAAGTGCACCTTGATATAAATGCACAATAGAATTAGAGGGCCTGATCCTGATCTCATATGGTCATAAATCAAGAGCAGCTTCCACTGCATAAGTGGTATTAGAACCAGCCCACAATTCTGATTGTACTCTTACATTTGTTCGGTTTTTTAGCTGAGATGCATTTAAGATGCCTAAGCACCATACAACAAGTTTTTATTCTTACATATCACTAAGACAGTATTACTGTCTGAAACTCAAGAAGTATAGCATTTGGAATCAATTCAGATAAATATCCAAAATGCATCTGATTTTCAGCTATCAGTGTGGATTACAAGGACCACATACTAGTTCAAAACAGGGCTGCAAAGCTCTTCTAGAAAAGGCTTTCATGAGATTTAATTTCAAATTTCCTCTGGTCTTCCAGATTTTGTTCATCACAGTTCTTCCTGCTCTCCATCTTGTTGCCCATAACGTTCCATTCCCTCTTCATGTCCATATCTGAACCCTTCTCTTGTTCTTATATTTTCAATTTCTTCTGTGCCAACCCTCTGCTTGTAATTCCTTTCTTTGCTTTGGCATCAGATAAAACTATCAGAGGAACTGAGCGCACACAGTTTCCACAAAAGTCATTTGGAGTTGTAGGTGCTGTGCCCACAGAGCATAAACCAATGGGAATCAGGCTCGATACTAGTATATAGATACTTTTAGGATTTGGACTGAAGCAATCAATCCTCAAATTCCAGTCCCTTTTCAAAAGCCTCTTATTCTATCAGTCCATTCTACATTAAACCGGAAGGGGACCCCACGCTGTTTACCATTTGGATCTTCCATTTCCGTGTGGCAACAATATGCTAGATCTGTATTGTCTAGATCTTCATTTAAATAATAAACCCCTTGGTGGTTGGAACTGTATGATAAAAAATGGCATGAGTGCTCAGAAACAGCCTCAGGAACACTTTCTTCAGCGGGTGTCAAGCAAGTGCAGCCTCAAACTGGCCATTTGGCAACGGGTCTCTGCTTCTTGTACTTTTCTTTTTCTTATGGTTGAGGAGTTCTTTATGCATGTACATAGTGCTGAGTTCACCTCTAGCACTTAAAAAAAGAAACTACTTATTAAGTAGTATTTATTAAAGGGAAAGTAGGACAAAGTCAGCTTCCAAAGTGCCAATCCTAACTATTTAAAAATCTTAAGTCAGGCCTTCAACATCATATAGTCTTTAAAAAGAATTTTAGAAATGGGTCTTTTTCTTTGTCCACTGGTCTCTCAGCCTTTTTGGTACATTCACAACATTTTTAAGCATTGCTCCCCAACATAGGAAATTGAAACTTAAGGACTTTTTTAAATTATGAAAATTGGCACTCTCACATAATTACTCGATTCCAGGAGATAAAACTCCAGATTACCACCAAATGTCATGAGCCTCACTAAAAAATAATGCTGCTGTACAGACTTAACACAAGCAACCTAACTACATTCAGTGGAGGTGCATGGAGTATAAATCCAGGCACAAATACTGGTAAATTCACACTAAAGATGTCATAATTTAAACAAAGATGCTGAAATCTCCCCAGTCTAAGAGCACAATAGAACGTGGCCGTACCTACAGAGTGAAGTTTACACTGTAACCAGAGCATGAGAAGGATGCCATTTTCTTTCTTCCTTTCTTGTAAAAGATCAGTTTTGTTCCACAATAAACCAGAAAGTTCTATGAAACAGGGAAGTGGAGGTTAGGTTTACCTGCAGAAAACTCTTGTGAACAGAGGCAACACAGAAGGAAAAAAGCACTCCAAGCTGTGCTTGCTCTTCATACTAAAAATTAGTATCTTGATGAGGATGCATTTAGACCAGCCTGCTTGAGACCTAGAATACAGTCTCCATGCCAACTGAATTCATTTACCCTTCTCCCTAATCCAATCAAGAAAAATAAAACAAAAAGTGCCATGGAAAAATCTTGTTCCTATTAGTACTACTTTAATTTGCACTTTTCAGTTTAAACACAGTTTTAGCATATCTGCTTTTTCATTTCAGCAAAACTGAAGCACCAATTTCAACTGCTTTAGAGCAGACTGAGTGGCAAAACGTCAAGACTGTTTTTAACTCTTAGGCTCATTTGTCTTATGCATCCTGAATATTTATTCTCTGTGTTCCCCCCACCAAAGGTGGTTTTTCTTCACAGCACCCAAAATTCTTAGGGTAGCTGGTAACCAAAAAGCTCCAGTGAACAAGTCAAGACAGCAAAGCAAGGTATCATCAGTTATTTTTCTCTAAGTTTCAGGCGGAGAAATGAAGTGCACAAGTAGTTTTCTATCCAGGGTAAATTAAATGTGAACACTAACCTAACTTTTTCTTTTGACTTGTGAGCCATGCTAGTCTCAGTTCAGAAGCAGAAGCGAGACATTCCAGAGATCAGATTGTGAGGAGAGAGAGGAGTCCCAGAGAATTAAAATGGCCCCACCTGTACTGCGAAGACGACCACAGGGCTCCTTCCTCACCCGGTGTTGCAGGAGGAGAGGAGAGGAGAGGAGAGGGGAGGGGAGTCAGCCGCAACGCCAGGGGAAAAGGAGAGGAGACGCCGAGCAGGCAAAAGGGGGACACAGGAAACCGGAAGAGACTGACTCGCGCAGCGGCGGCGGCAGGGAGAGGCGGAGGTGCTGAGGAAGCAAGGGAGCTCGGGCTGAGGGAAGCAACTCTGTGGTGGGAAGAGAGCCCTGAAGGAATGGCCGGGAGAGAAACAGAAGCTGCACCTGCGGAGAGGCAGTTAGAAGGTACCGCAAAGATCCTAATAGCAAGGCTGAAGAAAAAGGGTACCACAAAGTTGGGACTATAAGGGCAGAAGAAGTGCCAGTTTGTTTTTCTGTTCTCGTTTACATCAGGGTGAGAGGAAAGTCGCCCCAGATAGTGTGTTTACAACTATCAGGACAATAAGCCAAGAAAAAGACTGGCTAGGATTACTGGCAGGTCTGCGCCAGGTTCCAGCCAGCCGAGGCACAACCGGGCCCATCAGGATACTGATTGGCCAGACCTAGAGACCCAAGGATTATCTTTTTTGCACTGCTCGAAGGCAGACTGCGGAGACAACTGAATTATCACCCGATGGACCGGGCGAGGGTGTAGGGCAGAGCTTTCCAAACTTTTCATGTTGGTGACACACTTTTTAGACATGCATCATTTCACGACACAGTAATTCAGTTCCGGGGGAGGGGCCAAGGGAAGCAGATGCGAGTAAGGGAGCTCCGCGGTGCTCTTCTGCAAAATTTTCTGCATTTTGCGCGACACACTTACACACTGCCGCCGACACGCTAATGTGTTGCGGCACACAGTTTGGAAAGCTCTGGTGTAGGGGTTGGTGGAGCCTTTACTACACTAAGACAAACTGCAAGAGCCAAAGCATCAAGACCCACACGCCCCAGCATCCAGCCTTCTCCTGTAACAAGTTGTGGCAGGAGAGATTGCGGGTGTGTGGGAGGGGCCAGCAAGACATCGCGATGAACTTCAGCTTGTTAGCCAAGGTGCTAAATAAAGTAAGTTGTCTTGGTGTAGAAGATAAAGTGTAAAAAATAAAATAAAAAGGGTGGGGGGGGAGCTGCTTGGACAAGAGATGAGCTCCAGAGATTGACAACACCTAGATCAATAGAGACAAGCCTCTACCACAGATAAGGGCAGGACTTTTGGGGTGAAAGCCCACTACTGGACACACACATTAGCTCTCACAATTAACTTAACTGTGGCATTGAGCACATCACAAAACAACGGCCGGGCCAGTCCAACACAATGGCCAATCCATCAATAGACTTTAACCATAGATCACAAAGAAATACTTGCTCTAACAAGTACACAGACTAATCAGACGGAGCATAACATGAGCCGGCAACTAAGGCCAAGATATTCAGTGACTTTTACAAAGCTATTCAAGACATTCTGCAAATTAAGTCAAGCCTCCAAAGTCCTAACTACCACTTCCTTTCTTATCTTTCCCCTGTTATGAGAGCTGCTTTCCAAATGAAAGGAATCATGGGCATCAGACCTCCAAGAGTTTAACTGGCAGCCTCACTTGCAACAAGTGTTTGTTGGGTTTTTTTAGGTTGGGGAGAGAGGGTAACAAGATGCTTGCTGTGCAAAATGAACTTTTGAATTTAAGTTAAATCTTCATCATGATGCAGTGAGTTTAGCCTAGCTCCCTGGCAGGAATATCAAGAATGGCTCAGATGTGCATGCATAAGAGGTGTTCAGGAATGAAAAAATGTTACCACAGCATTCTACATTTTTGTTAGTTTCCTCAGGAACATCAACCAGAAAAAAATCAGTCTTTCAGGACTCTTCAATAAACTTGTCTGGTTTAGCAGCTTAAAAACTGATATAAAATGAAGATTAATCTTGGCAGCTCCCCTGCTGTTCCTCCCCACAACCTCCAAAGGAAGAGGAGAGAGGATTTAGCATCCTTCAGTGAAAGGGTAAAGAGTTTTAGTCTTAGCTCTGCAGGCATGCAATTTGTTTGTTCATTTGTAGAAGTGTATTACAGACTGGTACCTAGCTCTCTCTTTTTTTTTTTTTTTTGTGCCCTCCAAACTGTTCTTGAAGTACAAGTTATTGAAAATTAAATCGGGCTAGTCGCACATTTCTAGACCCATATATGCAGAGAGTGTTATATCTCTTCTATAAACTATACTGTAATACCTCTAGTATTGTATAGAAAAACCACTGTTAGCAAAATAAAATTCAAGTGCTTTCGGGTGTATTCTTTTCTAAGATTTGGAGGTACAGCTCTTTAAAAGTGATTTCTATTGAAAATGAAATGAAACCAAATGAAAAATTTCTTGCATTTGAAAGCTTGTCTGACTATCTCACCTATGCAGGTGGTCCAATAAGATATCACCCTAAGAAATTATTGTGAATTGAAGCTGTACTCTTATTTCTGGGGAGTTCTGAACAAAAATAAGATGCATCACATTTTGCACAGTTAAACTGTATCTACTTAAATTACACCATTAAAACTTAATAGATAGAAGCCACTTAAATAGTCTTTGCATATTCCACCTTGTAAAGTTTTTATGTTCTATTTAAAGTTATTCAGCAAAAGAAAAGACATAAGCAATGAAGAAATTCTAAGGTCTGTAGGGCATGGAAAGACCTAGGAAGTTATCCAATTTCCAGAGAATTGATAAAGCCAGAGGCAGAAAGGAACCAGGGGAGTAGGTTGTGGGATTATTTTAATACTTTCTGTTAACCTTTCATTTCCATCACTTTGTTTTTTTTAAGACTGTAACAGTCTTTACAAACAACTTTCAACTCAAAACCTACCTTTAAGGTAACAAAGTTTTTGATCTGTTGTTTCAGGGGTTGGTGTGGTCTAAAACATCACAAGATTCATAAGGTTGATCATTCAAACCTAGGGTGTGTTCAGTCCCTTACCAACTGACAAGTAAAATGCTGGCAAGCAGGCTTTTAATTACAATCACCAATCACAGAAAAAAGATTATGCTTTTCTGGGAAATGTACATAAAAGATTATTTATACATGTACAGTATATTACAAATCAACCATGTTAAATTATTGCAAATTCAGATCTATATATTCATATAAAAGACTAATGGTTCCCTACCCTATCATTTCATAATACAGTACAGCTTCCTAACAAACTCTAATTATAACAAGCCTAACAGCAGGAACTCTTTTTTCTTTATTATGTTGTACCAAACTGACCACCACTATTATAGCAAGCCCCCTTTTTAATGAACTTTTCTCTCAGTTCAATGGGTGTTTATTATGATGAGTTTTACTGTAAAATACGCTGTTGCCAAAGCAGCCAACTTGCACATTAATAAAATGTTGAAGAACTGCTACACAAAAATTGGAATAACTTCAGGGGTCAACCTGAAAGCCACACATTGACCCTGTCTTTCAATATGTAGCTTTCCTTTTAAAGGATTTCCTCTTCTATATAGTATTAGCTATTTATTTCTTCCAAACGACCAGAATTTGGATTTTGTCTCTCCATAATATTATTCTTAAATAGTGAAATTAAAATCCCAGTCTTTTTGCCTGGTGCAAATTCTCTGTCTCTCTTTGCCTCTTCTCCCACCCCACTACACCACCTCTACTTTGTCTCGCCAATGATTGAGTATGACCATTTATTCAGTTTTTGGGTAGTGACAATAGTTTTTGTCTTTCACTTTGCCCCATGTTTAGGCTAATAGGAAAAGGGAGACCTCGTAATCAAATTAATCTTCATAATGGGTTTCTGGAGGGCACCCTGACATGTTGAAATCACTGCATAAAAGCCAACAAAATGGCAACAATTTAGAGTTACTAGTGATCTGGCTGACTTCTAACCAGCGTTCCAAAGTGAAATACCCCATAATGCCTTACCAGTCTCCATAATTCTGTTGTGTTCCTTTACTAATGTTCTATCATAATGTTACTTACTATTATTCTGTTGAATTAAGCACCTGTATTACAAGATATCCAAGGATCAGTTCTTTCAAGGAATACAGAAGATGTGCTTTTGTATGGCTTACCCTAATTCACAGAAAAATTCAAATAAACTCTGCTGAAAATGAACCAAAATAAAATGGTTTCCAACTATCCTATTATAAAGCAATTCTTCACATGCAGAAAATGCATTCTTATTGATTTGTTTGCTGAAGGAATGCAATGTCTTTAGCCAGTCTGCTGATAAGTACAAGCCAGCTTTTAAATACCTCCTGTGTGAATAGAATAATGCATTTTTTTAATCTCCATAATCAAAACCAGCTACTACCACCTGCCTTCCTCAATACTAATGCTAATAATACTAATACCAATACCAATAATAATAATTCAGGATTCATTAACACCAAATCCATGCCCAGTATATATCTGAATTTGGTTCATAATATTTATTATTGACATTATATTGAACTTGAAATTAGAGATGAACAAAATCAGTGGTGGTTTTGTTTTCTGTAGGGAGGTTCAAACTTAGGTTCCAATTTTATCAAAATACCCAAAGTTCAGAGGAAGCAGAATAATGCTGTCTCTTGCTTATTTTTCCTTGAAAGTAGGCCACAAATGCTTAATTTAGCCCAGACCTTACAAGGAAGATACTACAGCTGAGATCTTCCTTTTATAGATGGTTTCTACTTTTCTAACAACTTGGAAAAACAAGCACATTCCGTTACTATATTTTACCAATATGCACAGAAAATAGCCTGGTGCTTCTCAACGTTCTCCATATTTGGATCTCCCTCTTTCCCCCAACAAAATCTACCTACTTTTCTGGCCAAAATCGTGCCAGACCACTTTCCCATTTTGCAATATGGAAAGAACAGGACAGCTGTAATGTCTATCAGCAGTTTGGGATCCTGCTGAGGGCCACAACTCCCAAGACCCCTGATATAGCACATATAGAAGCACAACCTAAAAGGAAAGAACAAACACATGTAATTTACAGTGGTGTTTAGAACCCACACTACATTTTATTAAAATGCTTGCTTTTAGTGATCTGTAGAAATGAATCACCCTTAGATCCATCTGAAGCTACTGTCCTGCTTCAGATGCACCAAAGGAAGAACTGATAATATTCACTAATCTCTGCCTAGGCAGAATTTTTTCTTGCTTTTAAACATATATTTGCTATGTTATTGTAAACTTGGCAAGGTTCTTCACTTAATTCTTTTAAACATAAGTTTAAAAAAATCACTATGATAAACACTCAGTAAGCTACAGGTGAAGGCTTGGCATGCAATGAAGATCTAAACTACAGAAGGAACACAAGAACACATAAGGAGTATTAGGGAATTATCAATTTGTGCTTTTGATAAACTACAGTGTGAGACAACAGCAAATGCAGAGAAGGAAGGATGAAGGACTGCTTGTAACAGAATGAGGATTAAAGTGCTGGGATACGGTAGTTTTCAGGTTTTACAGGTTGTAACAGTAAAAGTCACATTCAAGATACACAAGACAATACATCTGCAATAATAGAAAAGAGGCAAACTACAGTACAATGTATGAGCACACTAACATAATGGACAGTTTTGCTCCAATTCACATAGGATTTAAGTACTTGGTTTGGAAATCTGATTTGCAATTAATGCCTTCAGTGATCCTCATTCCACAGCGTCACCTAACTTACATTAGCATGTTTGGGATTTATGCCGACATACTGAAAGGAAGGAAAAGGTTCCTCTCTCACCATGTCTTCCAGCCCCTGCCCAAAGTAAAGGAATGCACTAACATTTACTCTCAAGGCAGAGGTTTATCAGTTTGGCTATTTACAATATGCTGGCCTTTTATACACTTTTGGCATTTGTACTATGCTCATCATCATAGTATCAAAGAGCTTCAGTTCTATGACCTCAACATATATGTGCATGTATGTTGGAGCTGAATCAGCATCACGTGACCTGCAATCTACCTGTAATTATACTACAGAGATGCTTCAGTTTTCAAAAGATAAATGAATATCATAGAAGCTTTGTCCTATTAACGTTAACAATTTTTGAGCCTCCTATCCAGGAATGAGGTATCCTCAGGCTTTGAGGATGCTCTAGGCCAAGAGTTAGCATGTTTAATCTAAGAGAATGGCAGAGCCAACTGATAAAGAGCAACGTGTAAAGAACAAATGGGGATTTTTTTTTACTTTGTTATGAAAGGCGAAGTGGGCATCTTTTTATATTTCATTAATGAAACATGCAGAAATGTACCGTCCATTTCCAGGTAACTATGTATAACAGGCCTGACAAGTAAACTATTTTGTCTCCATTTTGTACTCCCTGAAGCCCTTTCTACCAGTCCACAGATTCGTTTTGTTTCTGTTTACTGAGTGCCCAGTAAACCAACTGCCAAACCTCAATATGAAAGTCTTGAATCAGACCTATACTACTGTATGTACTATATTTCACAAGTAAAATTAAGAATGGCTGTCTATAGATATATTTTTTTAATAAAAACAGGTTCATAAGGAACACTTACATATGTTTCCCTTTTGTTTTGTTTTTAAGTATTTGGCACAAAAAATCAGCCTGTAACAAATTTCAGCAAAACAAAGATCCATGGGATCACACATACATCAGAAGGTAGCCTTCTTTTGTCACATAGAGATCCTGCTCTTACTAGGAATCCACCTTAGGAAAGATACTGACTTTATTGTTCCTGCTAATTTTTCTTTCTGCTTTACCCTTGGGTTGCTTTGTCTGGATAAGTTCTTCTGGTGTGTTTCCCAAAGGCGGCAGCAATCGCTTCTTACTGTTCCGATTTTCTGAGAGCCACTGCGGAGGCAGCTCAAAGGGCCCAAAGCCAAACTGCATGGAATATTTGTCATTGGCCATATCTGCTTCTGTGGGCATTGCTGGGGCCACCTGAGCAGCAGAGTCTGCAATGGTTTGTGGTATACATTTTTTAACCAAAGTCTGTTCTACCTCTAAACTGGTAGTTGGAATTTCCTTCTGCTGAAAGTCACCAGAGCCAACAGATTTAGTTTCATTCTCTTCATCCTCTGTGGGTTTGAAGATCTGCTGCTGCCCAATGTGAAACATCTCCAGGAGCTGGCTACCAGAACGGACACTGGGCTCCAGATTGGTATCTGCAACACCCCCAGAGCTGACAATATTTCTCCTGCTGTACCTCCGGTGTAGCTGCACTACGGTCCCCACTAAGCACTTCCGTACAGATTTGTTAACAGTCAAAAAGAGCAATGGATTGGCTAGCAGAGAGACCTTGGGCAACCAGATGGCAGTGAGGTGCAAGAAAACTGAAATATCAGAAATATTGAGTATGGTTCTGTAAATCACAAGAGTCATATAGGGGACACTGCAGAAAATAAAGATCATAACCATGGAGAGCAGCATGGCATGTAGTTCAGCTTCTCGTTGGGAGGCATATGGAATAGAAATAGTATTCTGAGGGGTCCTTAAGGCAGCTATGATGACTTTCTTCTTCTGGCTGGCACTAAGTGCCCTGCGAATAAGAATCATAAAAAGAAACACCACGGCTACTGGTACAATCACAGTTGTGATGTTATAAATGATGACATACACCAGGTGGCCAAGGGAGTAACTCCAGGATTCAGTACAGGTAGACATGGCATAAATGTCAGATACATTGGTCACAGCAAATACAGGAATACTGGCTACCACAGCATGGGCCCAGATGTATATAACCAGGTCTCGAGACTTTGCATCAGAAATTTTTCTTTCCAGTGGGTATAGAACTGAGTAGTACCTGCCAAGAATAAAACACAACAATTTAAAAGAGAAAAAGAGAAAGACATAGATTGTTTGGGATCACACAGTCATGACTTGGAGAAGTGGCACTGGGACAGTGCTTAGGGGGAATGTCTTGGTAGCTGTCAGGGAATGATGAGGGCTGCTAAATCACTATTCTTTCATAAGCAAGAACTGGGGTTTACAATTCTGGCACAACAACAGCACTATATTCAGAAGATCTACACTCGAAAGCAAACCGTCAGTGATCAGCCACCTTCTAGCTCTACATCTGAAATTATATTCCAATTTGTTTTAATGTGCACTCATGAATCTATAGAACTATCGATCTCTTCAAAATTAGTTATCTATAAATATCCTAAATAAAGCATAATTGTAAGCAGCAATTGGAATATGACTGGAGCACAGTTTTCTGTACTCTGACACTTGTCATACAAAAAGCAGGGTAGATTTGTACTTTATGGATTAACTAAACCAAAGATGCATAGCATAAGCTTTTGTAAAATTGGAAATGCATAGTATAAGCTTTGACAAGAGCTCAGTGTATGTATTTTTAATCATTTAGTCCATAAAGTACAGATTTACCCTGCCTTCTGCCAGACTTCAGACTAACACAGCTAACTACCTCTCTCTACTCATTTGTCATACAAATCAGTGAAGTGAGAAGCCTATCGCATCCATGCTTTTGTGTGTAATAAGTCACCCAGGCCATGTAGGAAAGTATGGCCTCTGTCTATTAGTGGTTCAGAATTCAAGAATCTTAGCTGTACCTGTCAAGAAATAACACCAAAAATAAACAGCAGCTATAATTCTAGCAGGCATGTACATGAAAACAGAACGAGGTCTTAAAATCATGTTGCTTTGTAGAAAGGTTATTGGCAGCGCACAGTGCTATACACAGCAATTCCTGCATATGCTGTATAGTCCTGTGTTCACCCTTTTACTGGAAACATTCTATGGACTTCATTTGCAAAAGATCTAGTAGCAAGGGCATTGAGCAAATAGACAGTTAGACATATAATAGCAATTTGCATGTGAATCTCCAATTTGTATATTCATCTGTGGAAGCTGAAGTAATTATATTAAAAATTATTTAAATATCAGACCTTGTGTAGCAGATCTAATAATGTGATTTTTGTTGGTACTGTCCTTTAGATGGTCTATTTTTAGTCAGAGGGAATAGAGATTCTCTTTATCCCTGGGGATAGGGCTTAATGGTTCTTGATACTGAAAGTCATAAACTTTATTCCTGATCTCAGAAAATGCACATATCTTCCCTCAAGATGTCCAAAGTAAAAGATATCTTCAGTGTAAATCCAAACCAATTAAAAACCTGTAGAAACTAACCCATCAGACTTCAAAAGTATCCAGCAGTACCACAGTTGTGGTACCACAAATGCAGTATTAACAGTTTTGTAGCTCTGGCTGTTTATGACATGTCATGAGCACCTAAAGTTGCACAGAGTGAATGAACCTACCTTGTAGAAGAGTTCTTTCATGAAGAACAGTTTGACTGGATATAATTAGTTATGTTTTCTCTGTGGCCATTGTGAAGTGTCCATGCAGTATCTCGACAGGAACATAATAATAATAAATAAATAAATAATAAACCCTGGGGCTTTAAAAATACGTAGTCTAAAAAAAAAAATCAGACCCTTTGTTTATCTTGCTTTTAGGGAAAAATATGATATTTTTTAAATTTCTCTTGAAACAAAACAAATCAAGATTATAGGAACTGGGAATAGGTTTAGCTAACATGACTCTGAAGCAATTTTTAGTAAAGGGGAAATGTCAAACAGAGCTGTACAAAACAGAGCAATATGGGTTCATAAAACCTTCTATTAACCTTTCTTCATTTCATTCATGTGGGTTTCCATCCTCAATTTCAGAACAACGTGTGTATAATTACATGTGCAGTCCTACAAGCCTCATGTAAGTGTGTAACACTCCTACCAAATTCAGTGGGATTGGACCCTATATTTATTTAGGAGCATTATCCTGATGCTCATTAAGCACTGTATGCAATTATGGGACAAATGATTTTCTCCACTGCTTTTATCTGGATTCATGAATTTATTTTGCAGTGGATGAAACACAATCCTCCCTCCTATTTATGCCCAGTGTGCTGTGATATATGGGAGCCTCAAAACCCTAGGGGTAATTTTGCCTTTCTTCTTATTTTACTACCACATGGGGAAAAGAAACTGGGCCAAAAAGTATGGAGATTATAATGAAGACTAAAGTGGCACTTCCAGCCATAGTTACACGTACAAATTTTGCCCAATATTAATTGAAATGTATTGGGACAACATTTATAAATTAATTTAACCCTACTGAAGTCAATAGAGGATTTGGTCCAGTATGGCTAGGACTCAAGTTAACTACATGATTATCAATAAGTTTGTACAACAGCCTTCATAGCATTCACAATGTAGGTATCATTATTTGCAGCAAAATTGCAGTGTTGATGTCAAGTAACATATTTTTGTGATGAATTATGCAGTCAGTTCATATCATCACCATTTTTCTCTATAGTCTGCTTTCCTTTTTCAGATTTAACACTGATTTATACTGGAATCTGACAGGAAGACAATCTATTTCACATTAGTCGTATCAGTATGCTGTATATAAATCCATTCTTTTGGAATTTTGTAAAACCAAAAATAAAAACAGCACGTCAGTAAAGCTGATCTTACCTGTCCAAAGCAATAGCAGGAAAACTAAGGATGATCACTGAGCAGAAGACTTTGTGCAAGAACTTGACAATTTTACAAAACATCATGGTATAGATCCACCAGCAGCACTGTGGACTGGCACTGAGGACAATGTCAAAAGGCACGCAGACTAGGCTGGCACAGATCCCAGAGCAGGCCAAGTTTTTAATTAATCTGTTTGTTACTGATTTAAAAACTGATGTTCTGCAGGTTGACCACAGCACCATGAAGTTTCCTGTGGCAATAAAAAAGATAAGAAAAAAACCATATCTTAAACTAATTTTCATATTTTATACAAGTACAAATAAAACCATTTGTTTCAAAATCACTATACCTCATTGATAGGATCTAATATCTTTATTCAATATATACAAGCAGTACATAGAGGTTGACCTAATCAGTTAAACTTTCTACTATGTGTACCTAAGCAGGGTACCCAGACCAAGCACTTATAATTAAAATTGGAATTCCCTTACAAATATCCAAAACATGGAAATCTGCTAAAATGTCCACATTTGAAGAACTGGCACAGTATTTACCAAAAATACACAGTATTTTTAAAGACAACCATCTATATTAAATTAATATAAAGCTTCCACGTCAGTGATTTTAGTTGCTTATATGTGTATGAAAATGATCCAGTGGCTTGCTTTTTCCACTTCTGAAGACCTTGGTACATATTTCTAGTAGTAAATTCAGATCTACAATATTCACCTGAAACTGAATAGGATTTAACAGATTCCTTTTATACAATAATGTCTAAATATACCGAGGAGGGGGAAAAAAAGAGGAACATAAGATACAAGCCATAAGTTTTTCTAATATTCAAGAGGTGCATGGTTCAGTTTGCATAGAAATATGGGTGCAGAAAAAGAAAATAAAGGCAAAAATCCACAGAAAATAACATTAGTGTAATAGTATTTAATCACTGATAGGTGGACTCATACTCTACTCCTGACAGAAGAAAGTCTCACAGCAGAGAAATGGTGATTCCTATGCAACCTCCACATGACTTCAAAATCTCACAGCAGCAACACAGAAAAGAAAAGAAGCACTCTACTGCACAAATTCTGGGGACCCTTCCATTACATACCAAAAATGGCAAAAGCTCAGACTCAATATAAAGCAAATTCAGATTACCAAAGACAGATTTTCAAAGATGAGAGAAAAATTACCTAGCAGGAAAAGTGCTTTGAGGGGGAAAAGGTTTAAATGCACCGTATGAAAATAAAAAGATGCATTTATTATTCATCTTGAATACTATACAACAACCTTAACTTTAGAGCATGTTTTTTGCTGTTTCAAATAGTACGCTGGGCACGTTCTAATGATCATGCACGTGCGGTTTGCAGTGCCTCAAACCTATTTGAGGTGCCGCAAACTGTACACAGCGCATGTGCAACCATTCATTGCACTGCTACTTTGCAGTGCAATGGTTTTTATGATACTGGGAGATCCTGGTGTAAAAAAACAAAACAAAACAAAACAACCCACCACTAAAAAAAGTGGTGTGGCGCACGTGGGAGCAGCATGTGCTGCCAGAAACAGGAGCCTATCTGGCCAGAGCTGCACTCTGGATGCTAGCCTGGCTCCAAGTTGCCAGCCTGGCTCCACTGCTGCCCTGGGAGGCCCCCAGAACCCAACAGTACTATTTTACGGCAGAGTTAATTAGTCTATTGCACCCTAATACTGGCACACGTGTAGATGGTGATGCTTTACTGGAGAGCTAATTAGTCTACTCCACAGTAAAGTGCACATGTAGATGCAACCACGAAAACTAACTAGTTACTGAAGGAAATGGAAAGATGTATTGCCATAGATATGCCAGTTTACCTAAAGGAAATCATACGCTCATCAATATTGTGGAAGGGGTCAGATTGGTTTTCCTAATCTAAATATTCCATGATATACATCCAGGAATCTGATTCTAAACTCTTTC